TTCCTTAACTCCGCGGGAAAAAGGAATTAACTGTCCGTATAATACAACTGAAATTTAGTTACCAGACCTAATTTTTAGACGTCACTTAAACGCTCAAATTTCACACTTCCGTTTCAAGCACGATTGTAGACAAGGCCTTATTCTTAGCAGATAACACCGTGGAATTCCGCGTAGATACTCCGCGAGAGTGCGATGTTACGTGTGCATCTTTAAGCAGCTCTATGTTTGGCGCACGGATTGCTTAATCACAAGCCGGCTTCAATTTCCGTTTCGCTGTTTAATCATGAAAATCCCGCGCACAGGTTCGACGGTTTATAACCCGAGGAAGCGCGCGCCCGAAAAAGCCACCTGATCCGATTTCACGATCGACGCGTCGCTCGTTCGCTCACGTCGTTATTTTTATTCAATTCTGTGCCGGCCGTGTGCGTCCCGAAATTAACCGACCATTACGAATCCGTGTATCTGTGCACGCGTGTCTGTGTGCTGCTGGGGGGGGGGGGACATTCTATATNTCAAGCAACGTTGTTCGATCGTCGAAGAGGGAGCCCTCGTGCAAAAGCTCTCCTTCTCTCGCTCACCGTATCCCTCGTATCCCTCAGGAAAGCCAGCCGTTCCCGCGACCTTCGTCATTTGCTCCCAGCCCACATCTTCCTCGTCCCGCTCCCCTCATCCTCGATGGAAACTTTTCTCCGTTCCAGCAGGTACGGCCTTTTTTCTTCGCCTAAAACCCCGAACAGATGCATCCCACGCGAGTTGTTTTTCCTCTCCTCCGGAACGCATCAATCTCCACGCGCGCACGAGCTGCTCTATCCGCGTTCGACGCTTCCTCGAAGCTTTTAGTCGCGGTGTGCGAACGGTACAAATTGCGTTTCGCCGCGAACAGATGTTATCCGCTAATGATGGGCAAAAGTGTGTGCTCGCACGTATGTGTGTGCGTGTGTTTCACCGGTGGATTGACTGGCCTAAAATAGAATAAGCTTGAATGCCGATGAGAGCAAATTGGCACGTTTCTGACACAACCAATTTCGCGTGTCTCGCAGATGCGCCCGGCGAGAACAGACGGGCCCGATCACGCTAATTACCCGTTTCTTTTAGCATTCGGCGCTCTCTCCCGCACTCCCGGCAGATTACCGGAGATCTCCTATTATTATCATATCACGGCGAATATCTCGCGTTTCGTCGTCGCGAAACGTCGTACTTCCGGCACCTCCTCGTGTGCTCAAAAGCTCGTCAACATTCATCTACGGACGACCCTGGCCCGCCCGGGTCCTCGACGTGCACTCTCATAAGAGCATCCGCCGTTAAATAAGTCTCCCCCTTGTACATGAGGCTGAGAGGGAGAGAGAGAGAGAGAGACACGACGACGACAACGACGAATGAAACTTATATTAAACCTTAGAATTACCTGAGGTCTCTCGGAAATTTCTCCCGAGATTGCGCTTATAAATTTTCCACGAAATTTCGGTGCTTTCTAAGGAGGAGCCTCCGTCAACATCACAACCGTCTGAGAATTACGTCCTACGACATTACGTCATCCCTCGTTCAGTTTCGCGGCCTTCTTCGCAGGAAGCATTTGAGCTGTCGAAGCGAACGTAACTCAGACATCTCCTTTGATCGACAACTTTTGTCGTTTCCCAGCCAGCGCAGTCGGTAGGTTTCGCTCTCGCGAAAACTGCAATCTGGCTCTCCCTCCGTTCCGAGTTCATCAACATGCACTCACAAGACCCTCGTTTCTCGCCTCGGTCTCGACGGGCACCCTCGTGAGAGTGTTCGCTCGTATTAAACGAGTCGAACGCCGCGGTGCAGATTCGCGGGATAACCAGACTTTTGAGAGCCCTCAACGTTAACCCTGACGCGATACTCAATAAAGTGGTCTCGCGGTCACAGCGAAAATGATCGAGATACGAGGAATTAGCTAAAATGGATAAATGATTAGCGAACACTTCAATGTCACACACATGTTGTATCTAATCAATATAGGTGATAGAGATAAAATTTTTTCCTAAACTACTCGTCTAATTTAACAAAAAAGTTGTAGCGTCGGGTTAAAAACTGCATCTTTCGTACGCGATGCGAGTCGAAGTGGGCCGAGCATCCGAATACATAGTCGTGCGTCAAAGAGTTCGAGAGATCCGCTAATGAAATTGAGGAAATTTCGAAAAATCCGACGTTCGTGCTCTCGCTGTTCGTCCGCCCGATCCCTTGATTTCTATTTGTTTACCCGCTCGCCCCACGGGAATTTCAACCGTCGTCCGGTCGACTGAGACATTCGCGTACGCGCGAAACTTGCGGATGGAAGGTCAAGCGAGCCCGCCGGAAGCGGGAAGACCCTCCTCCCTCGCTCATTCTCGAGGAAATCGGATCGCTCGTAGAAGTAACCCGCTCAGGTCGTTTAAGACGCGGATCTTAACGAGTCAGGGGGCGGAAATATGTTAAAAGATTCAACGGAGGATTGATATTATTTTTCTTTCCCCTCTTACACGTCGTGCTCCGCGTCTTCATCGTTCCTCTCGCGAGCGTTCGGCGCGAATCCCGGCCTCTTCTTTTTCCCGGTGGAAATTATCCGAAAATTCATGGCGGATATTAGCGGCGAAAGCGGCGCGTTTAATTACATCTCCCCACTGCGGTCCTGAAAACGGTGTTAAATATCTCGCGCGCTACCGCATTACCGCTTTCCTCGCGCGGTGTCGTTAGTTTTTAATCGGCGTAACAAGTACACAGGGTAGCGCGCGCTCGGTCCATCGATGTGAAATCGCGCGGACTCTCTCTCTGGCCGGTTCTCACGCGGGTCTCTCCCTCGAAAGATAAATAACGCGAAAATCGCATTTGGCAGCCGGCCAAAATAGCGCACGGGAAACGCGCCGGCGGGCTCGCTCGAATTCCCGCGGCCGCAGCGCCGCCGGATCATTTAAATCCCTTTTCAGCTAGTTAAAATACCGCCCGTGAAGCGGGGGAGGGTTTCAGTTTCATTTTCGCGCGAGAGGGGACGTATGTGCGTTCACGCAGCTGGTCACACGCGCGTCTAATTTTCTACACGGCGGAGCAGCGCGCACCGGCTTAATTATTTCGACGCGAGAGACACTCGAACTTACCGTAGCGTGGAAGAAATATAGACGTAGAATCGGAGTTGTGCGAGTGCCGTCGTGACCTTTCTCGAATTTTTTTCGCGGAACGAGCGAGAAAATAGTTCGCTCCATCGCGAGCAATGGAACGGAATAAAAATAGATCGAGCTATAACATGAAGATGGAAGTATTCAGCACGAAGTGGAAGTATTCAGTGGGTATTTTCAGAGCGTCTTCCAAGAAGCGCATAATTGTATAGTGTTATTAGCAGAGATGCATATATGTGTCGGCTGCAATTGGTGAGATTCAGTCTACGATAGCTTCTTGAAATAATCGCGCGGTATAGGGATTATGCAACGGGACACTTCGCGGGTTGCCCGCTCTCATGTTCGCTTCGCATTATTTCTATCTAGGTAGCGCTAAGTAGCGCATCAAAAGATATCGTTTAAGCAGCTTCGAGCATGGAAGCCTCTGAAAAGGAAATCTTAATGCTATTCGAACCGTTTCAGGAGAGACTATGTCTCGTTAGTCCGTAATGAGACGCAATATTAGGTGATTGACACAATGGCATTAGGCGGAATTCTCTCTCTCTCTCTCTCTCTCTCTATTTATCTTTTGGGAAGGAAAAGAGGCAAAATCGACATATGTACAGAATATCCCGCGAGACGTGGTAGGGGATGATTTTTTGTAGAGAAACGAATCAATAATGTAGAATGTATGTGTCTAAAATTGTTCGCTTTCGAAATAAACAATATCGAAAGATTCTCCAAGGGATCAGTAATTCGTAATATCGAAAGTGGTTTGACCCAGTACGAATAATACAATGAAAACCGACATCTTTAAACTAGTCAATATGACATATCCCACTTACAGCATAATACGATCACCGATATTTTTGTCTTTCGATCATTTCAGAATCGTTGGCTCGTCATAATTTTACCATCGTCCAACGGAGATCGCTTGTATATTTTTGCGCGACACAAATCTTCATCAAGGTTATTAGACGTGTTACGTAAAACCGATATTGTAATTTCACACATTTCGTGGTTTCATCTATCGGTGTCTACATGCTCCACGCATGACGTGTAGAAAACCGAGGTTATCGCTTCGAACAGAATAGCGCGAAATACTTTCGTAATCTCAAGTCTTCCTTGACGAGATGATAGCTAGTTAATTTTACTATCGTCCAACGGAGATCGTTTGTATATTTTTGCGCGACACAAATCTTCATCAAGGTTATTAGACGTGTTACGTAAAACCGATATTGTAATTTCACACATTTCGTGGTTTTATCTATCGGTGTTTACATGCTCTAAGCATGACGTGTAGAAAACCGAGGTTATCGCTTCGAACAGAATAACGCGAAATACTTTCGTAATCTCAAGTCTTCCTTGACGAGATGATAGCTAGTTTCCTATCATTCAATCGATTTTAATAACGGTACGAATTATCAGCGTATTTCAATCTGTCAACATGGTAACCGCGATTAGCAGCTGCACAACGGAGGAACGACGTTGCTCGTGGAAGTGTTGCCCTCCTCATTTTCGATTTGTTTCATGCCACCGGAACAATCTCCCCTTACTCAATGATACAACAGCTCGCGGGACATCCTGTCTGTGTTTTGCGTTGCCTTATCGGGGCTTAAAGAGAGCCGGGGCGCGCTCGCTCGCGGGCACACAATTAAACTTCTTCCCTCTAACAGCGATCCGCGATCCATCCGCTCGCGATGTGTTTGGCGCGGCTACTAATGCGCACAGCCGAGGCATCATTCGATAATCTGTTTGCGCAACTGGCAACCCCGCACCGTGTTGTTATTCCGCACTTATCATCGCACTTATCATTGCGCAAACTTGTTGTTTCAATTGGCGCGCGGAAGCGTGACCGTGACGGCTAGCGCGCGAACTCATCAGCCAGTGATACTTATTAAGTGGAAAGAATAAGGCGCAATCTCCGTCTGTCTCTCTCACGGCAGCCCGGTGAGATAAGGCAAATCAATGTACCTACTCCCGGACGGCGATTTGCAGTGCGGGATTCGAGTGCTCGATCGCTCATCTGTTTCGCGCGCGTCGCCGAGTGACGTTCTTCTAAAATCAACCGGGCCGAGCGATGACGAGAGAGTGAGCGGAAGTTTCACCCGAGGCCGTCGTCTTTCCAACGTCTCTCTCCTCGCCGAGGTCTCGTCGAACGTCACGATGGGCCGGGCCAACAAGCTGTACTTCCGGCAGCTGCTGACCGCCTTGGCGCCGCTACTGGGAATAACGGTGTGCGGCATGTCGAACGGCTACAGCGCGATTCTGCTGCCGCAGCTGAAGTCGTCGGCAGAAGTGAACGGCAGCGACTTCTCGCCGGATAATCAGTTCGGGTCGCTCAGCATCGAGCAGGAGTCTTGGATCGCGGCCGCCGCGGTGCTGCCGATGGCGCCGGGCTGTTGGACCGGCGGCTTCCTGGCGGAGCGGCTCGGCCGGAAGACGTCGACGCTGCTCTTGTTCCCGGTCTTCTTCGCCGGCTGGCTGATCATCGGCCTCGCCGGCAACGCGAATACCCTGGTGGTCGGCAGGCTGCTCGTCGGCTACTGCACCGGCATCCTCGCGCCCATCGTGCCGATCTACGTGAGCGAGACGAGCGACCCGGTGCTGCGCGGCATCCTGCTCGGAGCGATCAGCCTGACCCTCTCGATCGGCATATTGGCCTGTCACGCCTTGGGTACCTGGCTGCACTGGCGCACCACCGCCCACATCTGCAGCGCGCTGCCGCTGCTCTGCTGGCTCATCGGCCTGTTCTCGCGGGAGAGCCCGATGTGGCTGCTCAACAGGGGCGAGCTCGAGCCCGCCCGTCGCTCCTGGATATTCTTCCGCGGCGAGCATACGCTCGAGGAGTTCTCCCTGATGGAGAGCTCCAGGCGGGCGGACATCTCCCAGCGGCAGCAGACCGAGAAACGGTCGGTGCTGCGTTCTTGGCGGAAGACCTGGTCCTCGCGACACTTCCTCAAGCCTCTCGCCATCTGTTGCCTGTACTTCTTAACCGGCCAGTTCTCCGGCACGAACGCCATCAGTTTCTACTGCGTCGAGATGCTGGCGAGCGTCCCCGGGCTGACGAACGCCGCGTACCTGATCACGCTGCTGATCGACGCGATTCGTCTGGCGGTCGGCGTGATCGTGTGCGCGCTGATGAAGTCCTGCCGCAGGCGCGCCATGACCTTCTTCTCCGGCTTCGGCGTAGCCGGCAGCATGTTGGCGCTCAGCGCGGTCCTCACGTTCGAAATCGGCGGGACGTGGGCGCCCGTCCTCCTGTTGCTCGTCTACACCGCCCTGCTGCCGGTCGGACTGGTGCCCTTGCCGTGGCTGCTCTGCGGTGAGCTGTTCGCGAGGAACTTCCGCGAGCTCGGCTCCGGGGTGGCGTCCGGCTTCGGTTTCCTCTGCTTCTTCGTGGTGATCAAGACCATGCCGGCCATGATCGAGCTCATCCAGCCCCAGGGCACTTTCGCCGTTTACGGCTTCGTCGCGCTCATCGGCACCGGCGTTTTGTACTTCGTCCTGCCGGAAACAAAGAACAAGACTCTGCAGGAGATCCAGGTTCTCCTCGACGGTAAACCGCGCGACCTCGCGAGACGAAACGCGGACATTCCGATTCTCAGTCGCGAGAAGAGCAAGAACTCAGAGAAGGACGAGACGGCGCCCGACAAATAACGACCGTTGGATATTATCGTGTGTTATTTCAAAGTGTATATTGTTTTCCGATCAGTGTATCGTCATTGAGAAACGGCCGGTCGTAGTTACGACGGTATGCGGAGAGCGTGCAGTCAACATAAAAGTACGGCACGAAGCGCCGGTGTATTTATATCGCACGTCGATACCTCTCTTCTCTCTCGATACGTTTTCGAAAAATCCGTATAATTTGTACGTATAATTTATACGTTAAAAATCGAACGAGATTACCGTTCCGCCTGCGGCGAGGACGCGCGTTTCGACGATGATGCCGCTCGCGCGCGCTGCCGCGAGCAATTTCACGTTGCCGCGAATGACGACGCGACGCATCCTTCGACCGGATATATTTCGGGCGCGCCGTAAAATACACCGGTGCGTCGGAATAATGACTCTCTGCGGCCGGCGGGGAGCGATAGAAATTTCACTGCGAGCCTCGGCACGGCGGACCGTAAAATTGCGTTCTCACGTGATTATTGTTCGGACCACTTACCGCAGCTGATGGAAATTACCGCTCGTCGCGTGACGTTTTGCGCGGCCCCCGCGCGGTGACTTAGGCGCGAACGTAAGTGAAATATGACGGCGGTGCTGTCGGGCTTATTAAAATGCAAGGAATCTCGATTTATCGCCCTTCGTCGGGATTTCGAAGCGCCGGCGAGCGCGAAGAGCGTGTCTGCCGGCTTCTCCGCGCGATCACGTCGTTCCTCGCGACGGGAACGGCGTGTCGATCGAAGTGTCGGTTAAATCGAGTGGTGTGCACAGTGCCGGCCAAATTCGTATGCTTCTCGCGAAATAATCCGATTGGAAAAAGTCAACACGTAGTCCCGAGAAGCGCAGGATTTTAGTTATTCGAACTATGTACCTAAGTCGTTAAACTAAACTTTGGAAGCTAATATCTAATGGTCATTCAACGTTCGGCGATGCGCTATTTACTCTGCACGGGAAGAAAAACGCTGGATTCAAGTAAATCATCGTTCCGATACTTCTTAACGCATTTTTATTTCAGTCAAGTGACATTTCTCCGTGATCCAGATCAAACATCATCCAGACAAGTTGTCCAAGTAAAATCTACTTAATCCGAGCAGAAACTTACATTGGAATAATTATTTCAACTTGAATCTAGCGCTCTTCTTTCTGTGTGCGTTATCATCGTTATTATTGTATATTTAGTAGCAGTTCCTTTCAGCGTATCAGGGTTAACGATCCACGCGAGTTCAGGCAGCGGCGAGCTTAACTTTGTCTTCGCGCGCCCCGTTCGCCCCTCCGCGGCATATAATTCGTAAGCGGCTCTCTCCGAGGGAGTGGTTTTTCCTCGCGGTATGATTTCAATCTCGAGGTATCGCAGGAGTGCGAGCGCCACGGGAAGGGAATCGCGTTAAATTCAGGCGGTCATCCTCCTTTTTTTTTTGTTTCATCCCCAATCCCGACTCATTACCCTCCTTTCCTCGATCTCCTCCTCTCGCTCGGTACGCCTCGCTCGATGATTATCGCGAGCACGCGATACGGTCGTTACGACGGACAAAATCCTCGCCTTTCTTCGCGGTCGAGCAGTGCGGAAGAGACTACCGCCGAATCCGAGAGCGAAGGGAGAATGACGTTAGAATTGCCAAACTCGAAAGTCTGAATTGCCTTCCTTCCTTCCTGATACATCGAGGCCAAATCGGACAAACCTGGACGGAAATACTAATCGTAAAACTAGATTAAGTACAACACTGAATGAGAAATTGCTCGCGATATTGTATTCCGGACAGTTTTAAAAACAGAGCTCCGTCGAACAAGTTGATAAATTGCTGTTATTTAATGTAAGATACATTTTATTGTGAAATACAAAACTCAACCATGTCGTACGCATTTAATGACGTTCGTTAAAAATGTTCTGTTAAAACATTTAGATCTACCGATCGGATCTACTTTCCCGAGAGCAGAGATTACCAGAGTCCTGGATCTTGGCGGCTATTTCTCTACTCTAAGCGCCTATTAGCGGAGCGCCACGAGAATCGACCGACGGTCTGTTAAATGGCGCTGCTTCTCGCGACGGTCGACCGCCAGCGGACGCTTCGAATGAGGAAACGTCGCTGAAATCTGAACTCCGCTTATAAATCTCCTCTCACGGTGCAAATTTATATAATCATTTCATCTTATTGAGTATACTTGAAAACCGGACACATGACGGTCCGATTCGACTCGTCAACCGGACGAGATTCTTGAAAACCTGACCCGATTCGAAGCCAGGACAGTTGAGAATCCTAAGTGACGGAAAGTCCGTCCCTCCCATCGTTCATCTTCGCCGCGCGATTTCGCGTTTATTAGCCCGTGAATTAATGCCGATCGCTCCGCTTGTGATGCTGCGCGGAGACGTCGCCAGGATAAACGGCGCCGGACGGGAGGTGGGGTGGGGAAATCGGACGGTCCGAAAGAGATTTCACGTTCGACGGAACGAAAAGTCGGCGATATCAAACCGTGATTTATGACGATAAGGACAATCTCGGCCCAATTTCCCACGCGCGACGTGCCCGAACTGCATATAATCTTCATGAATGCGTAATGGCCCGTCATGCGTCCTCTCCTGTGGCCCATTCGGGAAGGTCCCGTGTAATGGAGGGGAATAAAAACTAGGTGGTCCCTGGCGCGATAGCGCCTCTCGCCAATGGCGCTTTTTGCCACGACGATGAAGCCCCTTCAGGGCTCCTCTCCTCTTCCTCCTCGAGCATCCGCCGCACGAGGAGGAGCTTAACCGTGGAAAATGCATGTCGGGCGGGGACGTTCAGCGCTCCCGACTCGAGGAGGACCCCCGTCGATCGTATCGAGTCGGATGGAATCTTTTTCGCGGGCATCCGCTTATGCGTGAACAATAGTGAAAAACAATCACGAGGCTGACAAATGTCGTTTTAAAGCGTCGATTCGGGGGAAGGAGACGAAGTGGATGAAGGAGGGTGAAAACGCGGCTTTGGAGGCGCGTTTGACGGCTCACTGCCGTTTAAAAAGAGCCGTAAGCGTGCGTGCAAATATCGGCGATTTCCGCGAGACGGGTAAGCCCTCCGGCTTATCGTATACTCCTGTGCACATCTCTCTCCTAACAAAGGCCAATTAATTTTTCATCCCGGGCGTCACGTCAGGAAAAGACCAAAGTCGTCGACTGACATTTTCAGCTCGCTGGACGCGCCGCCGCGATGCTAATTTCGGAGATAATGCGAGAGAGCCGCGCGCAATTCGCCTCGGTAAAAACGCGCGACAGCATGATCCAGCGGCGGAAATTTACGGGCGGAATGAAAATGTAGCGCCGTGTGAGCCGCGGCGCGTACTGTGCGCCGTTCTACCTCTCCACCGCGAGCTTTATGTACTTCATAAACATTCCTCGCGGTCTACTCATCATCGTCCGCCGTCCTGTGTTTGCGGTTCAGGAATAACATCTTGTTCGACGCTCGCGCCGACGGAATCCGACGCGAGACGCGACGAGGCGCGTTCCGCGCGACGCGATCACTTTCGTAATCTGTCCCGGCTGATCGCGTCGGCCCAGCGAACGTAAATTGCGAGGAGCTCGAGGAATTCCGACGGTCCCGGCGCAATAAAGCGCGGCTTCATTTGCATTAAATTTTTCAAACGCCCCCGTGAGCGCGTGTTTCCGCTCTGTTTTACCGTCCCATCTTTTTTTTCCTTCCCCCCCCCCTCCCTCCCCGCTTTTATCGCGACATCTCGACGAGCGTCGCTTAGAGCGCGACCGCTGTTTAAGCGCGTTTTATTTCGGGCCCGAGCGAAATACGCTTCGTCCGGCTTAATAAATCGTATTTGCGAGCGTTTGTAGCGCGCGAGCCCTGTAATCGCGCGCGAACTTCCCTTTTTGATATACGCCGCGCGCGCGCGCGCGCGCGAGGCTAATAAATCGCGATTACATGCGTCGGACGCGGCTCACCTCCCCGCCCGTCCCGCCCACCCACGCGCAAACCCTTTTGTAGTGCCCGCGTGTGGTGATTTTATAAACGCTGCAGCGTTCGGGCGCGCACCTGTAAAATTGGCCGGCGCGCTCACGAGATGTTTTACGAGAGACGTCGAAGCTCGATGGGAGAAGCGGCTCTCGCCGTGACGCGTCAGCGGCCCGCCACCGACACCGCCACCACTTCCGGCAAAGACTCAAACTCTCCGACGTCATTAGGAAATTTATACGAGCCGGAGGACAGGACGTTGATTAAATCCGGGCTCCGGCAGGGGGTCCGTAGTCTCTGACAAAATTGAAGGAGCGATCTCCAGCCGCTGCGAGTAATCGCCGACGAGCTAGTCTCTCTCTCTCTCTCTCGTTCTTCCTTTCCCTGTCTCTCTTTCTCCACGGGTGTGTGTGTGTGTGTGTATGTGGGTGAGAAAAAGGAGGCAGAACTTTATCAGGTCCTACGAATCCACCGACACCGGCGGGTAAAGAAAGTAATAGACGGGTACCGGTTCACACTCCGGGGCTAAGGAGCGGGAGATAAAGGTCGACTGGCTTATCTTCGAAACAGGAAGGATGTTATCCTTCATCTGGATAAGTTCTTTGAAAAATTGAATTAAATCCTTCCCCATTCCTTCGTCCTGACCCCCTCGCGCGCGCGCGAATTCTCATTCCGCGCGCTCGCACGAGCGCGACGGCTTCTACGGCTAACAATTGAAGCGTGTATTTTGAGATTGGATTGTTTTATAAATTTACATATAATTTTTCCCCGGTTATTATACGTTCCCCCCTCCAGGTGCCGGACGGCGATTGGATTTTATTAAAAACAATAGTCCGTATTCCGGCGGCGGGATCGAAGGAGCGGGTTTTGTTTTTAATGTTTCCGCGAACGCGAGGGAAGAAATGTGAAAACATCGCGTCGAAATGGAAGTTAAAGGCGTGCACGGTGAGAACGCTAAGAAAGAACGGATCCATTACTGAACCGGACGAACCAAACTCGACGATTTATCCTAGCGTTGCTCAACGGCGAGATCAACTCTGCTTTCGGCCTCTAACGAAAATGTCGTTTCTCGCATCAGTTCTGCTTAAGAACCCGGCGAGGTGATAAAAACGAACTGGATTTTCCGAGACTTCTCTCTCTCTCTCTCTCTCCCCCCCCCTATTTCATTCCACTCCCTTTCTCTCAACTCCTCGTTCTTCTCGTCACTTCCATGGCGGCGCCTGCGGTGGCAATAATTTGCAATTTTTGTGAAATGTATAACCGAGCCGGAGGTAATGCCGGAATCGACTTTAGGAACAACACTCTGGAAGTTTCGTGGACCGTGATGATGCTGTTTGCCGCAAAGTTGTAAGTTAACTGGCGGCTAACAAAGTTGCCGGTGTCCTAAATATGACGGTGAAGTGGCGCAACTTTGTTGCGTCTCCTTTCTTTTCAGTTTTTTTTTTTTCAACGACGTTATTTTTTTTATAAATACGTTAAAGCGCGCTCATGGGAGAGTGAGTTTCTCGATTCTGTTGTACACGAAGAAAAAAGATTTCTTCGGACTTGCTGAAATTTCTTTAGTTCAAACAAATCTGCCTTTTGGAACAGAGCGAACAAACGAATGTTCGATTCGGCAAACAGGATTGTTCAGATTCTCAAACAACAAATATCTTTACGTCAAAGAACATTTTTCGTCTGTATCTTTATCCAAACGTTATGGCTCTCAGAAGCAATAAATTATCGGAAAGAAATGACACTATGTTAAAAAAGTATTAAAGGACTTTTTTGTTTCGGCGAAACAATATAACGATATAACCGCGCATAAAACCCCTTTGAAAATGGTTAATTCGGTATTAACTACGGAAGAGCCGAAACCGTGAATCGTGGATCCGGCTTCAGGATTTGCTCTTAGTGCCGTTCCTCGAGGAAACCCCGGTGTTCTGACGCTCGTCAGGAATTAGATATAACGCGGCGTCCGTTTCCGGTGTCGCGCGTCTCGTGAAATTTTCAGCCGTGCAAAGGGAACCGGGTTCGGTTTTGCTGGCCGAAATCACGCGAGCGCGTAGGTCCACGTAGGCGGAGAGGCTGCCGATGGAGTCGCCGAGAAAGCCTGCGACAGGAAATGACATTCGCCCGCGATCGCTCGGAACTTCATGAAATTCTATTTCGGTGCTGGGAACTCGACACACGGCGCCGAGGCCTCGGCTTTGCATAAAATGATAGCGTCCATATCGCCGGGGATGTCGCGCGTCCCCCACAGTTGATGGGGTTTGATTATGAAGCGATTAGACGTTGCTCCGCTCAGGAATATCGGAATTTCGTCGCCCATTTCTCGCTCGACGGTACCGAAAGTCCGTTCTATCTGACGGCGCGACTCGACACGCGAGCGACGTCACTTCGCGATCTCGCCGTTTCCCGACGCGTTGCGCTTCGAGTTTTCGAGTTAATTCGCCGAGATACACAAGATGATCTTGCACCTTTGAATTAGATCGCCGCGTGAAAAAATACATCGTGAAATAGGATTATTAGTGGAACAGAAAGTGGAGTTGGCGAAGATCTTGACAAGATGTACAACTTCGTGAAAAGGACCGGATCTTCTGGCCGACGACGAGAAAGTGAAACGACGAAAGATGAAGTGAGAACGCGCGAATACGAGCGATAATGCGACGGCGAATCGATATAATTTTCACAGTTTTCTCCGTCGATGCATCCTTCAACGGAGATAGGCGGGAGGCCAGGCGCGTCGAGGTAAGCTTTCGAGAAGAAGAAAAAAACGGAAGGCACACCACGAACGCGATTTAAGCTCGCGAGAATTTATCGGCGATACATTTTCTCAAAGCGTGTGATCGCTGGCGGGTTTTTGCAGCGACGGAAAATACACACACACACACACAGGCGTACATATACACCGGGGAGTTTTAGCCCGCGACGTTGCAGATAGTCGGGCTG